GTGAACTGCGCAGCTACCTTGGCTTGCAGATCACCCGGGACAGAGCACGCCGCACCATTACCCTGACTCAGTCACATATGGTGCAGCAGGTCCTTCAGCGCTTCGGCTTCACCTGGTCCTCAGCACAGGCCACTCATCTGGCTGTAGGTCACTCGCTCTCAGCTCTGCCTTTGGATGAGTCCGTAGAGTCGAGTGGTCCTTACCCAGAGCTAGTTGGTTGCCTCATGTGCCTGATGACTTGCACTCGTCCTGACCTAGCATACCCTCTTGGCCTTCTGGCCCGCTACGTGGCTCTTGACAGGCACCGAAAGGTGCACTGGGATGCTGCAAAGAGGGTCTTGCGCTACTTGTGCAGTACATCGGGCATGGGGCTCGAGCTTGGAGGAGGGAGCTCAGCTGTTCTCACTGGGCACTCAGACGCTTCTTGGGTTGACGACCAGGCTACTCAGCGGTCGTCACAGGGTTACACCTTCAGCCTTGGCTCTGGCTCAGTTTCGTTGCGCTCTATGCGTTCGTCTTCCGTTCTCAGCTCCAGTTGTGAGGCTGAGATCTACGCCACAGCCATGGCTGCACAGTAGTTACGCTGGCTCACCTACCTGCTGACCGGCCTGGGAGAGCGGCCTAGTTCTCCTCTAGTGCTGTACGTCGACAACAAGGCTGCCATTGCCTTGTGTGAGGAGCACAGACAGGAGCACAGAACGAAGCACATTGCTCTTCGTTACTTCCTTGCTCGAGAGCTGCAGCAGCGCGGTCAGCTTCGTCTGCGTTACGTGGCCTCTCAGGCCAACACCGCTGATATATTCACCAAGGCACTTCAGCCTGGTGATCATCAGCGCTTCTGTACTTTGCTGGGGCTGGTGCCCACTTTTCCTCACTTGTTGTAGGCTCTACCTGTACTGTGATCTCTATATATATACTCCTGCCTGTCTGCTCTGCTAGGTTGAGTTCACACTTGTTGTTTGTACTACATATATACTTCTGCGTGTGAACTGGCCATGTGGTCCTTTGCTTGTTCTCGGAATGTGTGGTGACGTTGTGATCCACCCTGAGCTTGCTTGCCTCTCTTGACTGGTCTTGTGACCCCTTGTTCTCCCCCACTTTGCCTATGGGGGTGTGTCAAACACTATATGTGTTGTTGTTGTGTAGGCTATAGTGGGTTAGCCTTTAGGGGGTACACAAGCTAGGGTTTGCTACTTGTACTCCAACTTTTTCATAGTTCAACCACTTCTCATTCTGATAAATAGTTGAACAAGCAATGACAATAATGACTACATCAGGCACCTAGCAACCCTGCAACTAGCTTGGTCGACCACCAGCACTGCAGAAAAGCGACCTGCCAACACTGCACGTCGACGGCATGCCAACACTGCAGCAATGCGGCTGTCCTGCGTTGCATCCGTAGATTGCAGCAGTGCGCACATTCGCAGAAGATTGGCCCGACTTGCATCGTTGTGCATCCGTTGGCTGTTGTGTGCGACAGGCGAGCCAGATCGACTTCGGGATACCAGCCCAAAGTCGCCTTCGCCATCGCGACCTCGGCGACGTTCTCGTGCCTCCGCAGAACTCGTCGAGCAAGTTACCCGGTCGACCTGGACACCACCAGGTGCTCTGTTCGACCACCAAGTGCCTCTGGCCGACCACTAGTGCCTTTGGTTGACCACGAGGTGCTTCTGGTCGACCACCTGGTGCCTCTGGTCGACCACAGCTCGTGTCGAGCTACCCCCTGGTCGACGGACCCCTTCCGTTGATCAGAACTGTCAGTTGTTGTCGTTGAGCTCCCCTCGTCGACCGCTGCTCACATGCAGGTCGACGGACTACTCCGTCAACTTCCCGGTCGAACTGTTCCTCCCTGGTCGACAGCAACACCACAAGGTCCCCTGCAGCTCGACGAAGCCTATCGAGCAGCTCTTCTACTGTGAATGGTCGACTGCTACTCCCATACATCCGACCAAGTCGTCGGCGTTGCCCAAGCGAGGGCGAGGCCAACACTCCATCCCCGCTAACATTAATAACCGAGGTAGCAACAGTGACGCCAGCGAAGGGTGTATGATGAACACCATGGCTAGAAACCAGAATTAAGCGCGACCCTGGGAATGCTTGACAGGCGTTGTGCAATGTCGCCTTGTAACTGGAGAAACCTAAGTTAACAACAATGACCGGTATTCCATTGTTAAAGTTAAAGTCGATACTGGGTACAGCAACAGACGTAAGTGATGAGCATTGTAGCGGGAATGTTGACCTAGTCAAGCTCGGCAGAATCCATGACCGCCTGATGGCGGAGAAGGCGGAGAACATTGCGGAAAGCTTGATGCTAACCTACTACTACTAGCCTGATACTGACAAGTAGCTATATCAGTGCGCTATTCAAGGATACAGTGAAGGAATTCCATTATATGGTCCTTTGATCTGCAAAATTTACTGGTTCAAGAATGCATTTTCTGGTTGTAATTATATATAGCACATTTGGTATAATTGTGAGTTTGCTTGCACAATTACAAACGTGACGTAATCTTGTGAGTGTTGTACCCTTCGTCGAAACTCACAGATCTGGCCAGATTTGCGGCCACTGTTCATTCCCATCGCACTAGATTTGTGGATGTACACGATCACTGATCTGCCCGATGAAGTTCTCATTTCGTATCCAAGTCTCGACCGCGCGTGCTTGCACTCCCACCAAATAGCCGCTCCCCTTGTTCTCTACGAATGCTGATGAATGAGGCGAGCCTATCGCTGCATCATGTTATCAATGGAAGATAGACTCACCGCCTTTTTTTGTACGAGCCAACGAATCTTCGACGGTGTTTGCTGTTATTATCGGCTAGGATGAGAGAATAGAAGGTGGGTATACGATCGTTGATTTACCACGATGAATTACTCGAAGTTCGAGTGACAGTTCGAGTGCACGTGCTTGCACCTCCCACCAACGAAGGAGTCCTTGTGTTTTTCACGAATGCTGCCGAAGGACGAGCAGATCACGTGGCAGGTTACGTGTCTCCAGCTGGCATGATGATGTGTCTTCGGCCCAAGCAGGTGATTCTCTCGCTTCCAGCGAGTGGACGAAACCTGCTATGGCCTTGCAATAGCATCTGATTGGATAGTTTCACCGACATAATAGCTTCTCGAAGAATAACGCGCGGGCCGATGGCGCCACCAGTGCGGCCTTACGGATTGATCTGGGTGGGTCTTCAAACTCATACGTCGGCTGAGAAAGGAGAGGTGCGGAAATACGACCTTTTTAACCCACGTCGTTTTTGCATTTAGCACCCTGGCATGTGTCTGTGAGCTTCTACTAAACTTGAGCGTCTCAACCACTCCCGAATTACTGTTACGCGAGGTGGCTGGCGTTCTGTCATTTCTCCTAACCTAACCCCGCTCCTCAGGCTGGTGTCACGACTTCGCAGACGCTGTGTTCTTCCGAACTCCCAGCACGCTTCCCCCGCTGTTCCGAACTCCCAGCACGCTTCCCCGCAGTTCCGAACTCCCAGCACGCTTCCCCGCAGTTCCGAACTCCCAGCACGCTTCCCCGCAGTTCCGAACTCCCAGCACGCTTCCCCGCAGTTCCGAACTCCCAGCACGCTTCCCCGCAGCGCTGAGCGCGAAGGTGCGACACTCTTGGGATGATGGCGCCGCGCAGTCCCTGGGCGAAGGAGCTGGTGAGAGGCCACGTGTCAAGAGTCCCAACGATGAAACGGAGGCGCACTGACAATCATGCTGACTACCATAGTGACGGTGCTGCATGCAGCAACTCTTGTCGTCAGCGCAGGATTTTCCGGGCCTGTGCTTCAACTCCTGCAGCAGCAGCAGAACCCATGGCCACCATGCAAGCACCATCCAGTGAGAAGGCGGCGAGAGGCGCTGCTGAAATGGCCAGCACAGCAATCACGCAGCGCCAAGGAGGTCCTATGGTGCAAGGAGCTGTCGCTGGTAGCAGCGGCCCAGAAGATAGCAGCGTGCGACTAAGTTGGGCCGACTACGTTCGGAGCAAGGAGAGGCTGGGAATAACTCTGCTCTCTGACAAGAATCCTCCATTTGATGCCGCACCAGACTGCTCAGTTGAAGCTCGCAGTGACTACAGGGCCTTGTGGATGGAGCAGTGTGCGACTGGGCTGATGGAGACGAGCTTTGAGAATCCACGCTGTACCCGAGTCGTCATCCCTGACCTCAACTTACCTGCATGTGATGATTTCAGCTTGGCAACGCACTGCCAGGGTGTCCGTTTCATGCAAGGAGAACAATATTCAAATGCCGGGCCTGCCCGTGATACCCCTGCACTGCCTGCCCATGCTACCCCTGCACTGCCTGCCCATGCTACCCCTGGAGTACGTAGAGCTGATTTTAGAGGCCCTGAGCTGTGGGAGTTGAGCTTGAATAGCCCCGGGTGGAAGCAGCAGCAGCAGCTGCAGGAGGCGCAACAACTGCAGCTGAAACATGTGAACTGTGAAGGTCGGAAGTGCTATGTTTGCGCGGATTTAGAGAGAAGGCGAAAGCTGATACCAGAAATATATATGTACAGGGTGAGGATGATTTGACAGATTTAGCTGAGCTTGCATATGCAACAATGTTGCAGTTTTTCAGGCTTGCTGTGCTTTTGCTTCTAATCCTTGTTTTGTTTTCAATAAAGCTTGTACAGTGTCAAGACTTCTATGACAAGCGATGTAGTCAATAACATCCTACATATCGACTTTGATGACTAGGCTCGTCTCATCGTTCACAGAAGAAATTGCTCCTAGCGGAGAATCTAGTACGGTAGCTTCGCTCTCTCGATCAAGCCCCCAGTTTTTGTGTCTGGTGGTGCGTTTTCTTGAAGCGTAAGCCGTGTCGCCATGCAGTCATGCGTCTGGTGCGTTCCGCGAAGGACGGGTTTACCATCCCAATGCCTTTATGTAACTCCATTGAAGCAACCTGAAATGCTACGCGTTATTCCAATGAACCAGCTTAGTAGAGTTTCTGTTTCCGCGTCGCGAGCCTCCTCTTGGCGCCGTCGCTCATGGCGGCAAGCGATGATGGCTCCTATTAATCACCACGCGCTATGCTCACCATTCGTTACGCACAGTCAGCGACGCGCTTCCCGTTACATCCACGTGTCAGCAGCACAAGCGAACCTAACGCACGAAAACGCTCAGTCCCCACCCGTGCCAGAGCCTCCTACCACATCCGAAGCACACGCGCAAACCCCGCCCGCCATTTCCGCCTGGCCCGCATTCTCCGCCGCGTTTTCCGGCGAGTGGGCGGGATACTCCGTCGATTTCTCGCGCTTCGGGCAGCCCTTGGAGTTGCCGCAATCCGTCGTTCCCGAGGCGTTCCGCGACTGGGGGCTCGTCCAATACGCGTGGCAATCTCAGACCTCCAGCGTCGCTCGCGGGGAAGCCCTTGGGAACGCCAAGATTCTCTCTTCGTTCGTGCGGTACGCGCCTGCTGCGGGGTGCGAGGCGGCTTCTCCGCCTAAATACAGTGTTGAAAGAACGGTTTTGGAGCTATTTAGGGACACCACCATCAGCACAACTGCTTCTCCTGCTGGTGGTGGTGGTGCTGCTGCTGCTGGCGACTTGTTTGCATTCAAGGAAGATGGTTCTTATTTGCTCGTCCGAGCTGGCCAGTCCTCCACCATGCCCGCGCCAGCCAGCGTGGACGTCATGCGAGCCACTCAGTGGGTGCCACGTGGCACTGACTCCAGACCCCGTGACTCTAACGAGGGTGATTCATACAAGGGGATCGGCAGCATGGCAGCAGGGCCGTTTCAGGTGGAGCATTGCTTGGCATTGGATGGGGTGGAAGCTGCAAGCGGTAAGGGAAGAGTGAGAGTGCGCGTCGTGCAGCAATTTAAACCAGAGAATGCAGCAGCAGGCGGGAAAGGAGGAGGAGCATCAGCCGTGCCTCGGCTTGCCAGCCTGGCACTGCACAGGGAGAAGTGGGTGGAGCCGTTTTCGGGCGGCGCTGAGCTGGCGGATGGCGCAGCGCTGTTCAGTTCGGAGATGATCGAGGAAGGGGAGGGGAGTGAGGCAGTGAGGGCAGGCCGGGTGAAGGAGATTGAAGGGCGGTGGGAGGTGACGGCGAGAGAAGCTCAAGTGCCCGGAGCTGTAAGGTTCATCTCAAACGCTCAGACTCTTGTTGCTAGTGATGGTAACTCTGAGCTGATTCAGTCAATAATGCACTCACTCACTAATTAAAATGATTCACTTCAACCACGCCTCCCTCTGCCGTTGGTACTTGTGTGCGAGATAAACACAGTCTCGGCCTGTTTGTTTTCCTGTTTCCCTGCTTCCCATTTTCTTGCCTCTGTCACTTCCTCATACACTGATTCTCAATCCTCTCATGCCCAGCAGCCAGCCACCTCATCATCACTTGTTGCTCTGGAGTTGACTGAACCCATTCAAACGGAGCTCTCAAGGCAGATGGAGACCTCTGCTTTGGACGATGGAACGCTCATGCTGCTGCCAGAGGTAGGGATGAGATGTGAAGGGTATGACTCTTGTGATGAGATGTTGTCCCCTCTTTGCTGGATTGCTCCTTACTTTTCATCATCACTCGCTCCCTCCTCCCACCCCCTCTCTTTCTATTTCTCTATCCCTTCCCCTTTGCCCAATCCCTCTGCTTTCTCCGTTCCTCCGTTCCGCAGTTTCCTTGCACCCCATTTATTCTACCACCCGAGGCTTTCCTCTTTCTTTCATTATCCTCCTCCCCTTTCTGCCTCTGCTGCCACTGTGGCCTTTCAGGGAGTCTGGAGTCATGTGCATAAGGTGGATGAATTGTCGGGAGAAAGCTCGTTTCGTGTGGAGGTTGGGTGGCTGTTTTCTTCCAACCAGGCAATTGTCTCCCGGGCTCACTTCGACCAATCAGGGAATGCAAAGGTGCGTTGATGATATAAGCGGCACTTCGTGCAGACCAGGGGTAAGTGGAGTGCGTGATCTGTACACCTTTTTTGGCCTCAAATATCACTCCCACCAAACTGCCACTCCCTTTTCTCAACCGAATGTGTTGTCGTGTTTGTTGTTTTCCCTTGTGCAGAGTTTATCCATATCGATGGAGAGGAAAAACGGCAACTGAACCAGTTATAATAAAGAAGCTGTAGATGATTTGCTGATTAAATGTTCTTGTTGAAGAATTACACGTGTACTCGTTCGCTCTAATCAGAGCGTCGTTTATTCCTGTAAGGAAATTCCCTTTTCCTTACTTCGCGTCCCTGCCCAGCGCGTACGTCACTGTAGCACCTCAGTCAGCACCGTTACCACTCGCGACCATCGCATCATTCATCATCCCGCCTTTTTCGCACATCGCATCCCGACCTCACGGCTCGGCTGGTAACCCGCGCTCCGGGCCTACGCTTCGACACTTTCCCAACCTCAGTCCCAGGCTCGACGCGCGACAACCACAGTCCATTACCGTTACCACTATTGTTTCGCTATATAATCCTTCGCTCATGCCTTCGCTCATTGTACTTTTGCTTCGATAGTGCAATTCTCGTTCCTTCACTCAATTGCACACGTAACACTTGGTATCAGAGCCTACGATCTCATCTCGGACCGCATCCACACCTTCGCTTCCCACTATCTCAATTTTTGGGGGGGGTAGACGTCTCTCAGCGACACAGCACCGCCGCTCGAAGTGCTCTCTCGCAAGCACGCACGGCCACGACCGAGGCTCTCGCTGAGCTTGCCCGACACCCCCGCCATGGCCGACCTCAATCTCGCCACGTTGACGCAGGAGCAACTCGATCGTCTCGTGCGACAATTGGAGGATTCGGCGCTTGAAATCGCGACGCTCACGGCGGAACGTGACTCCGCCCGTCAACAGTCCACGGTGAATGCTCCGACAACATCCCACGCACCAACCAATGTCTCTGTACATTCGGAGGAGCCGATTATCATTTCATCCGGCACACCAACGCAACACAACAGCACGGGACAGCGCTCAGGCGCAGCCAGTGACGGCGCAGCCCAACCGATGCCCGGCATGGGAGGGAACAGGAGCACGCTAAGCCCACGGGAGCCCCGAGAAGCCCGTCGGCACGTGGAGTTTGCGACGACAAGTGGTGAAAACGCCATGATGGCCCCAATGCCACTCAAGCCGCAACGCCCGCCCTGCTTCGACCCAAGCCAACGCGGCGGCCCGACAGTTCAATCGTGGGTCTTCACGATGAATGTGTTTTTCGACGCCAACTACGTCGAGTCGGACGCCGCCAAGATTCGGTATGCGGTTTCACTACTCAGGGGCCCCGCCATGGACTGGTGGCGAGTCATCGTGACGTCGCCACGCGCCTACGAGCCACCGTCGCACGAGGAAGGGCCCTCGGGTCCAGCTGTCACCTGGAGTTCGTTCTGCGAAACAGCCCAATACAGCACGTGGGATGCGTGGTGCGCAGGGCTTCGGGCGCGTTTTGAGCCGATCGCGGCTTCGATTTCGGCGCGTCAGAAACTGCGCACTTGGCGCCAGCTCGGGTCGGTTCAAGACTACACCAGCGGTTTTCTCGCACTTTGCGAACAGGTCGGCTACATGCACGAGGCGGAGCGGGTGGACCGTTACGTCGGAGGGCTGAAGCCGGACATATCGCACGAGATAATGCTACGCGGGCTATCGAATTTCAACGAAATCCTCGCGCTCGCCGAGAAAATCGATATCCTACGCCGACCGAGACCGGGGTCCTATTTCGGACATCGCCCTCGGGGACCGATCGAGCACGCCACTGTACATGCCGTCGCAACGAATGCAGCTGCCACGCCATTTAGAGGGCGCTGCTTTGCTTGCAACCGGCCGGGCCATCGCAAGAGCGAATGTCCAGAGGAGCTGAGGCGTCGAGGAGCAGAGCAGGGGAAGGAGTCTCGGAGGCAGGGAAACGCCAGCAGTCAGTAGAAGTTGGGCCAACTACTGACGAGACTGCCTGCTCGCCCAACCACACCGACCCTCACCGAGTCACAGTACCGATTCACGCCATCGATCGGGCTCGGATGAATAAGGAGGGTACAGCGACGGATTGCCCGGTACTGATCTACGGGAAAATACAGGGAGCAGCAGTGAAAATCTTCATTGACGGAGGAGCAAGTCACAGCTTAGTTAATACTGCAACCGCACGGAAATTACAGTTAACACTTAACCGATGTTTACCTGAGATAGATGCACGCTTAGTCGACGGCACGCCTTTGGCCATACGAGAAAAAGTGGAGCGAGTAAAAGTCCGCTGCGGGGGAAACTTCGGGTTTACACAGGAAATGCTCGCAACGACGCTGGATGGGCACGACATTTTACTGGGACGTGATTGGCTGCGACGGTACAACCCACGGATCGACTGGACGACGGGGAGCTGCACGGTGCGAAGTAGCGGTAACTGGGTCGTCCTACCTCGCTGGCGGCCACCCGAATCTTCGACAGTCCAGGTCAACGCCATCGCGATGAAACGGGCTGTCGCTGCTGGAGTTGACGTGTACGCAGTGGATATCGCAGTAGTAGAAAAAGACGAGCAGCAGAACGATTTACAGAAACTGCTAGCAGCCGTACCGACCGAATTACAAGCACTACTGAAACGGTTCCCGGGGATATTTCCGGATGATTTACCACAGGGACTGCCACCTCAGCGAGCGCACGACCATCGGATCGAGCTAGAACCGGGGGCACAGCCAACAGTACAGCGGCAATTTCGACTGACACAGCCCGAGCTCGACGAGTTAAGGAAGCAGTTAGATTACCTGTTAGAGAAGCAGTTTATTCGACCGAGCTCGTCACCGTTCGCCGCACCCATACTGTTCACACCGAAAAAAGACGGAGGTTTTCGCATGTGCATCGACTACCGCGCGCTTAACCGAGTAACAGTCAAATCGCGATACCCCATCCCCCGCGCCGACGAACTGATTGACCAACTGCGAACAGCACGTGTCTTTTCGAAAATAGATTTACGAGGAGGTTACCATCAGATTCGCGTCGAACCATCGGACTGCGCAAAAACAGCATTTAGGACTCGGTACGGGTCATTCGAGTATACAGTAATGCCCTTCGGGTTGACGAACGCGCCTGCGACTTTTCAGATGACCATGAACGAGGCATTTAGGCCACTTTTAGATAAATGCGTCATCGTTTACCTAGACGATATCCTCGTTTACAGTCGGGATAAGCAGCAACACTTAGCAGATCTTGAAGCAGTTTTTAAGGTTTTAGAGGAACATCGGCTGCTCACCAAGGGCTCCAAGTGCGAGTTTTTTAAGGATAGGCTAGAGTTTTTAGGTCACGTCATTTCAGAGGCTGGGGTTGAGATTGACCCAAAGAAGCTGGACACGGTAAAAGCGTGGCGCCCCCCGACGAACATCACGGAACTGCAGAGTTTTTTAGGGTTTGTTAATTACGTTCGACGGTTCGTGCCCGACATGGCACGTTTAACCGCCCCACTAACTGATTTACTGCGTAAGGGGGTCGCTTTTACGTGGGGGGAGAAAGAGCATGCTGCCTTCTCTGCCCTAAAAAACGTTCTCTGCTCACCACCCGTCCTACGCATCGCTGATCCCCACCGCCCTTTCGAAGTGGTTACCGACGCAAGTGACATCGCCATCGGAGCTGTACTGTTACAGGACTTCGGCAACGGCCTCCAACCCATCGCCTACGAATCACGAAAACTACATCCGCCTGAGCGAAATTATCCGATACACGACCGCGAAATGCTCGCGATCGTGCATGCATTCAAAGTTTGGCGCTGCTACTTGACTGGCGCAGACGTGACAGTACGGACAGACCACCGATCTCTACAGTACCTCCGCGCACAGCCCCACCTCAACCCACGACAGATTCGATGGCTCGATTTCCTCGAGTCGAATTTTCACTATACGGTCACATACAAAAAAGGAGCATCGAATATCGCCGACGCACTGACCCGCCCCACTGCCCAGATCCACGCGATACTACTCGCCCAGACCAGCCCACTGCTTACCGGCCTATTTACCCACGGATATCAAACAGACCCGTTCTTTACAGGAGGCAACTCACAGCAATTCGCAGCGGCAAAAGGAGTCTATTACGTAAAAACTGGAACCGACCGCATCTGGGTACCGGGATACACGTTACTTCGGGAACTACTGTTACAGGAAGCACACGACGGAGTTACCTCGGGACATTTCGGGGTAGAAAAAACACGGCAGCAGCTGCAGCGGTACTACTACTGGCCAGAAATGTTGACTGACGTGCAACGACACGTGGCATCGTGTCCCACTTGCCAGCTCATGAAGACAAGCAGGAAGCGACCAGCAGGGCAATTACAACCCATCCCGCCTCCAGAGCGTGCTTGGCAGCAGGTGACAATGGACTTCGTCACGGGGTTACCAGCTGGGGCGAGTGGGAATGACGCGATCCTGGTCGTCGTCGATCGACTAACGAAAATGACTCATTTCGCAGCATGCAGGAAATCCATCACAGCCGAGGAAACCGCCCGACTATTCATCTCCACCGTCGTACGCCTGCACGGGATACCCGCGTCGATCATCAGCGACAGGGACACGAAATTCACCAGCAACTTCTGGCGGAACCTGTGGCAGCAGTTCGGCACGCGCTTACAGTTCAGTTCATCCTATCACCCCGAAACCGACGGACAGACGGAACGGACAAATCAGACCATGGAGCAGCTGATTCGAGCCACGTGCGACGACCCGAATACGTGGGAACAGCAACTGCCACTCATTGAGTTCGCATACAATAACGCACCATCAGCCACGACGCAACAGTCGCCGTTTTATCTAAATTACGGACAGGACCCAACAGTACCCA